TAAGTGGTTCGAGAGTAGTAGCCAGGACGCAGTAGAGCTCGGGTTCTTCGCATGGTCGAAACAGATTCTAGACCTTTGGGAATCTAGTTTGGTGCAGCCTCGCAGTCTTGCACATTGTTCCCAGCATGTCCAACTGAAATTTTTGTCGGTTTATCTTGAGACACGTGAGTCGCATGCCTTTCTAAATGAATTGTCTGGATGAGGCCATCGCTTCGCTCGGGTGTAGGCTAATCTCCATAGATGACTTTGTATGGTCGAAGTTGCCAATCTCCACGCGGCAACGCCACTGCCCACGGCGGGGGCCAAAGTAAAGGCGCCGCCCAAGGCAGCGGTCCTCCAAACAAGAAGAACACACATACAAACATTCGAGATAAAGGTAGAACAAGTTCAACCGAATTCAGAAGGAAGCACAATGAGCAAAACGAGCAAACTGCAACCATACAAAGTCCCTTCACTCAAAAGTCCCTCCAATCAAATCCTTGATAGGATCCACAATTGCACTGAGGAAAGCCATGACCTAAGTTTGAACAAGACTTGTTCATTGGCACACATGCACATCGAACAACTTCTCAGCCAGTGACCACTGCCGCACAAACGCCAGCAGATGTTGCAGAAAGCACAGGCCGAGCGGACAGCTCTGTCAGCAAGCGGCCTGTCAGACCAAAACTCCCAAGAGCAGCCCCGGGTGTGGTGGACCGGGACCAAGTAAGTTGCTTCTTGTTCGATTCTAATTAGAGTCTAATTAAACTTGTTCTAGGTTAATTCTATTTTTTTCTTGTTTCTAATAGCTTCTTGCTCCTAGTAGTAAGGCCAGGAGCCCCTAGTAGCGTCCTTGTTCCTAGTAGCGATGCCCTTTGTTCCTAGTAGCGTCCTTTGCCTCCTACTGACCGGGACCAAGTAGCTCAGAGGAGGCCAAAAAGGGAGACACTTCGCTCTTGGGGCTTGCCTGCTGAGAAGCACTACGATGAGCAACGTCGCGTAGGATGCAAATTGAATGTGGATTACGACAAGGTAGTCATAATGATCTGTAACCTGTTCGACTCTACAACGCCGCAATTCTGCGCTGCTATTTCTTGAAGGTTTTACTGATCTCCACACAAGGTACTGACAGTATTTGTTGTTCCTCTAGAGAGTTCAGGAAAATGGGGGAGTCGCTCCCCAAAACAACCCTGGATGTCCAATCATTTTCATGCTCTCATGTCAAAACTCAAGCACAGTGCTGCAATCTGGAATGTTTGCAAAACATCCTGATGCCATATGATGGCTTTCATCTCGTAAGAACGGAAGGGTGTAATGAAATTGAAGCCCTTGGCTAAGTTACTTTTGAACAAATCAACAAACCGAGCACAACCAGCGATCTTGGTACTAAGTACTAAGTCATAGGATTGGTATGTGAGGCGCCTGACTCCTGACCTTAAACTCAGCATCACACCGACCTACTTACCAAGTCACCAACTTAAGGCTCTTCTCTTTTTACAATGACTTAGAGCCAAGCTCTTTGCCGAAATTAGAATGGCGGAGATGGAATTATCTGATTGTGGGACCGAATGAACTGATTGCAGAGTGGCATCGAGCACGTTGATCTTTGCAGCCTCGTGAAGTGTCTGTTTTTTGAGACTCAGGGATGTGCCGCACCTGCCGCAGTGACCCCATGCGCGCTGGAAGGCAAATTGGTACAGCGGTGCGCACCGGAAGCAAAGATGGGAGCCCCACAAAGGCGAGAGCCAGCGCTGAGCACCTAAAAGCAACAAAGCGAAGTGGAATATGTAGTGGAATTGCTTGGAGCACCAGCTGAAGTGGCACCAAACGGACTCTTGTGGTGCTACAACAAAAAAGGCTGTCAAGTTATATGTAAAAATAGTCATATAGTCTCTGCAAACCGATTTTTGGGAGAGTGCTGAAGAAGAGCTGTTCGAAATGTCACCAAATGCATCCGAGACACATCAGTGCAGGGTGTCCTATCAGCATCAGAAAAGCAAAATTTAGCAGCGTGACTAGCAGAAAAGTACCCTGCAAGGAATCTTCATAATCTTGTTACACCGGCCTCTTAAACAAGGAAATGCTCCTGTTGGCAACGTGGAGAAATTTCAACCCGCTCAATGTATAGCCTCTAAGTCGCACAACAGGCTGTTCCCTCAACCCCCACAACAAGTTCATTGACATCAAACTAATGAAATACACCTTCCCCCCACCCCCAGCAAGTTCATAGAATGGAGGCAGCGTCCATCTCATCATATGCCAACCAGTCAACACCCCCACTTTTGTCTTCCATATCAAAAACACTGTATCTAAACACCCTACAAAATGTGCTCCAAAAAAAACGTGTAAACACCCTTACAAGTGGCCTGCAGACCATCACGAAACTTAAACAACAAGCCGCTTTGTGAAAAAATAAATGGTTGACTCTCCAGCATCACTAGGGGAAAATGAGCATAAACATTTGCATAAACACGGATTATGATTCTAGAGAAACATATTGGTTTGCTCCATTTAGCAGTCAAGTGGCTGTGGGTCAAAAGCTGACCCACACAAATTCATTGGACAGTGGTGGCTGCTGAAGGCAACGAGGAGTGGATGGGTAGAACGACCAATTTAACGCATGTTGGCTTACATAGCTGCCTCGACTTTTTTCAAACCTTGAGTGGGCCTCTGTCATCTGCAGGAACACCGTTTCACGGTTCACGTGCTGCATCGTGTTTGTTTTTCTTTTTTCCCACAACTGAAAAAGCCGGCTAGTACGCGATCGGCCGGCCGGCCAGTATTGCCGCGATCGGCCGGCCAGCGGGCGACGTACATCGTTGCAACGATCGCTGCTAGTGTCTATAGTTGGTTGACTGGGTGTGCGGCCGGCCATTCGGTTGTTCGGCCAGTCTAGCAAACATACATAAGTAGTGGAAGTACTCGTACTCGTACTCGTAGTCGTCGTAGTCGTCGTAGTCGTCATAGTCGTCGTAGTCGTCGTAGCCGTCGTAGCCAACGTAGCCGTCGTCGTAGTAGGAGTAGTAGTAGTAGTGGTAGTCGTAGTAGTAGTAGTAGTAGTAGTAGTAGTAGTACTAGTACTAGTGGTGGTGGTGGTGGTGGTGGTGGCGGGGGTGGTGGTGGTGGTGGTGGTGGTGGTGGTGGTGGTGGTGGTGGTGG